TGAAATACATTTTTTTGAATAAAAATAAATAATTTTAAAATTATAAATATGATTTTATAAAGTGTAATTGGATTTTAATTAAAGAACTAAATTGAATTTTATCAAAATTGGAAGTTAGTGACTAAATTGTAAATGGAAAGATCTTAAATCTATAAAGCAATTTCCCCAAGACCAATCTTCCCTTATTTTTCAGCTCTCTTTGCCGTGAATCACTGAAACCAGAACGAATTTTATAGTCCAACGAGATTGGCTAAGACTAGTTCATATTCTAAAAGGTTGAGGGGGTCAAAATCTAGTATGTAAAGCTTAAATTAGAAAGAAAAAAAAAAGATATCCAACTCTGGATGATTTGAGAAATTTCAAGAAATAGACACATGCCTGAACAAATATTTCTTGAATATGAAAAATTGTTCACAGCTAGCTTCCTTCACCAAATAATTACTGGCAAACAAGTTTCAAGTTCCTTCACCAAGAAAAGAAGTGGAGAATCACCAATAATCCCTGCAAGATCAAGTACCATTGACAAACTTATGGAACCGAACTCCATCTCTAACGATTATTTCACGCTCATAAATTTTACTGATGATCTTTGTAACTTCATGGCAATCAATACAAACTCTTAGATTATTTACTATTCTAGTCGGCGCTGGTGCTTTTGTCTTTAGAAGTCCATAAGCAATGGAAAGCCTCTCACTGTGCTCACACAGGTAACTTCCTTTCTCTTCATCAGCAACATTGTGCAGCACATCAGATATAAGTGGGTCATGCCCAGAATCACTAACTTGCTCGGAAATAACCCTTAAAACATGTCTTATCTCCTTTGCCTCGGGATGATGCCAGTCTCCCGACACAAACTCATGAACAAGACCACCGATTTCAATTGAGGTACACCCAGGAACTGCCTTCATGCCCATTTCCTTTGTCTTTTTTCTCGCATGGCTCATCTTTTCCCACTGTGAAACTGATGCATAGAAATTTGACAGCAGAATATAGATCTCCGTATTTGTTGGCTCTAATGCAAGAAGTTGCTCGCCCGCGATTTCTCCTTTATGAAGCATCTTATTCTTCTGGCAACCAATGAGTACTGTTCTCCATATTACAGGATTTGGTGAGAAAGGCATGGTTTGAACAAAACTACAAGCCTCATCAACAAGGCTGGCTCGGCAGAGAAGATCAACCATACAATCATAATGCTCTAGTGTTATTTGTACGATGATTTCTCTCGCCCGCAACAAGAAATGAAGAAATATATCCATTGGCGAATGCATTTACATTTTAGGTGGGCTGTGCCACCTAGAATTCGTATTTCTTTATATTAATTATTCATTCTATCAAAGTTATCCACCTTAAAAATTTTTTGTGCTTATCATGGAATTCAAATTTTTTTATATTAGTTATTTATTTTACTAAAGATACTCATCCTGAAATTTATTTGTGTATTCACCATAATATTTTTATTATTAATATATATGTGTCAACTTTAAAAAAAATATTTTTTTAGATTCACCGAATATATCATCGAATAGTGTGACATCACTTTATCTATATATCCTTTTTTTTAGAAGAGAATCGAAGGGTTGATGATTCTATTTTATAGAAGAAAACCAAAATCAAAAAAGATTATTAAATAGCAAGCGTACGTCTTTTTACCATTGCAAGCTCCTAGCACTCGAGCTTATTGCGGCCCAACTATTGGCAGTCTCGCGCCAACTATGGATATGCAATTAGCCAATTATGTGCATATATATATATATATATATATAGGGTTACGATCTACTTACACGATATAAAACTCTTTAGTTTTATATAGATTTTGGACCGTTAGATGAGAGAAATAAAAGGTTGAAAATAACTCATTGTTTTTTCCCAAATAATAATCTTCATATTTTTTACTTTTAACCTCAACCATCTACTGTCACTCATCTATCTATTTGATATAATTATAATACATAAATAAATATTACTTGCTATCCATGAATTTCAATGTTTATAATTATTGTCAGAGAGAGATGGTAACAAAAATCAGGGAACCGAACACTCCTACTACTTGGAAAACTTTATAAACCTTAGATTTTGAGCTTTTAAACACCTAAATCATAAATAAGATTCATAAACCCTAAAATAGACATGCTTATATAAACTTTAATTTATACAATATGTGTACCATATGATTTTTCTTCTTTATATATTCAATAAAATTACTTGTTATAATTATTTAAATAACACAATATGAAGAAATTGTTTTAATGAATACAATTAATATGACAAATTATACAAAATAGACGATAAATTGAGACATATTATAAACATAAATTACTCATCTAAACTTAACTGTATAACAAATTACATAAAACTTGATCCAATACAAAAAAAAAAACACTAACATAACACATTCGTCAAAATATCAAAATCTACATGAAATAAATTATTAATGTACAGAAAAATAAAGCTAACATAACATGAATATATGATACAAATATTTGGTTTCCCGATTCTAAGGTTTTGCTATGACTAATCCGAATCGAACCGCGTCGCACACCTGATTTCGATGCTAATAATTTGATATTACATATTTTTACCAATATGTGCATTATCAATTGTTAAGAAATATTTTTACCAATATGTGCATTAACAATTGTTAGAAAAAGTTGAAAATTAATTACGTTATAATCATTCAATACTACTAAAAAAATCACTGTTTACGCTTTCTTTGCTATAAACGAATTGTATTATAGGATAATATTTTAACCCACCCTCAAGTCATCAGTTTCATTTTTGCCAACTTTTGAAGCTATTTCTACTTTATTATCAATTATGATGCTATTAGTTCAAAAGCAATTATAGGGGAAACGAAATGACATTGTTTAAAGCTGGCTTATCCATAAGTAAGTGTGGCGTGTGATATGACTCCAAAATCTATGACCCACACTTTAAAAAAATGATTTTGTTTCTAAGAACATTCGAAGGATGATAATTTTTAATAAAGTGTCACAATTATAGAGTTATTTTTTTTTGACATTAACTTAATTTCATATGTTTGAAATTTTTATTTAATTTTATAAGACAAAATCATAATGTGATAAATTTTGATATTTTAATATTTCGTCTTATTTTGTGTAGCTTTTGTCTGAGCTGGAGTGAGTCTCGGGTTATGTAGTGGAGGCTTGTTGGGTGGTTGATGATGCTGTTTGATGATTTTTTGGCTTTTGTTTTTTCTTTAGTTGATATGTTCTGGAGCTGCGGGTATTGCATATTGGAGTTTTGGTTGATCTTTTATGGCCAGTGTAGTTCCCATGTTGTTCTCGATTTAGCCGAAAGTTCGAGGTTGGCCTATTATATAGTCGCAATTCTTGAGTTCTGTTTTAGTGCTTTTCTGCGGGGGAGTCTTGTGGCTATGTGTGTGATGCTCTTCCATATGTGTTTATATGTGTGTTAGTCCTGTTCTTTCCACCTCATGGTTCACTCTTTTTCCTCTAATAGGTTTAGGGAGGTTTTTTAATGAGGTCCATGGGGTGGTGTACCTTGTATCCTATTAATACAAAGTACCCATTTTTCAAAAAAAAATATTTCGTCTTATTATAAAATATTTTAGGGGTTTCATTTTAAAAAATGGCATAGGGCATGGTTTAAAGGATTTAATGCCTCATCTCACTAAATCTATTGATTGTCAGTTAAGACTCCTTTTTTGTTTAAGAATCAATATTTTGTTCACTAAATCTATTATGTTCACAACGTCAAAATTTGGACATTTGATCTTGTTTAAGGGATCTAATGTCTCATCCTATTATATCAATTGATTGTTGGTTAAGGCTTTTTTCGTTTAATATAATCGGTATTTTATCGACTAATCCAGATCAAATACTATATAAGTTTCTTTCAAAGACGATCCTCTCAACTCATTTTTGTACTATTTTTAATGTGTAAATTTAAATTTATAACATTATTTAAATGATCTAGTGTCTCGTTCGATATACCAATTAATGGTTGGCTAGGAGATTTTTTTAATGGAAAAGAAGGATGCAAGAACCATGTGTTGGCATGCGATTTGTTTTCCCAATGTCATAACTGAAATCAGAACCTTTGGGTTGCTTATTCACGGTGTACAATTCTTTAGTGGAAGAACAATCTAGGGTTAGAGTTCGCCAAAAGTCACTTGCATCCATCAATACATCATCCACAATATGCATAATATATATATGATCTACTCCAAAGCCATATCCTTCACTCAAACAAAATATGACCTCAACACCTAGTGACACATTGATTTTGTACCAAGGAACTGACCAATCCTCAGGCGACACGCTTCACCGGCTTGTTTCTACAAGCAAGGTAACCCAACAATCTACTTGATCCTTCAATCCCTCGTTTAATGATGTGTTGATGGTCATGATCCACACTTTAATCACCACAAATTTTGAGATTGAATCCCCTCTCTCTATTCTCTTATTTTACTTCATTATTTTCAATACATTCTTTCATAATAACAGGATTAGAAAATTTTAAACTTTTCCAGAAATATTAAAATGAGCCGATAGAAAATTTTAATTTTTTTTCAGAATTATTAAAAAGAACTCATTTGATAAATATTGTATAATCAATGATAATTTTGATATATATTACATACTATATTTATTTATTGATAAATAAATTTTAAAATATTTAAATAAAAATAACCTACCTGTCATTTTTTATAATTATTAATAAGCAAAAGTGCTGCAAGATAATTTTGTCTCAATCTCTCATATCTTATAGCCTATACCTCGAACCAAGTGACATCAATGATAAAAGAATTATTATTATTTCTTAAGATATCAAGTTCGAATACCAAGAATGCCATATACTCACCCTAAATTAATCAATAAAAAAATATAGCCCATACCTCAAAGAATGTTGCCCAAAGACACCAAGCAATCTCTCTCTCTCTTCTTTCTCAAAATTTCCCTATAAATGTAAAATCTAATGAATAAATCATACTAATTATCCCTCACCCATCCAATCAGTATTTTTGTTTTTCTCTTACAAAACAAGAGACAAATGGGTGGAAAATTTTCACAACTATTCATAATAATCATTTTCTCTTTATTCTCACGTTACAACTCTTTGGAAGATGGCCCAACCCCTTACTTTGAAGACGTTGTATCTGCAGGATATGATCCGCAAGCTTATCCTTCGTACTTCACCACCATCCAACATGCCAACTTTGAGGATTTGATCTCTCAGACCAATCAACTTCAAACGTTAGGTATCATCACATCACCTTCAACTAAAACAGTTAATGTTGATGACTTCGGAGCAACCGGTGATGATGCCAACGACGACACTCAGGTTAATTACATCCTGAATCATATAAAGGGCGTTATTCCGATAGCAGACTGTTATCTAAATCTCTGTCCTGCATACATATATAAGGATGAATATGAGGGTATTTATGAATTAATGGTGTTTTTCAGGCATTTGTAAAGGCTTGGGAAGAAGCCTGTTCGTCCAAGGGTGAAGTTGTTCTTGAGGTGCCTCAAGGGAAATGCTATCAGCTTAAGCCGATCAGATTTTCAGGTCCCTGCAAATCCAATCTTACACTCCAGGTGAGCTTGAAATGAAAACCCTGTCTGTGAATTTATCATCTGAAGATTATTTACTTGTCTGATGGGAACTTGGAGCTAGCAGATATATGGATGCATGGAAGCATCTAATGATATGTGTGATTACATGGAAGATAGAAGACATTGGCTTGTCTTTGATGAGGCTGATAATTTGTTAATTCAAGGTGGTGGGTACATTAATGGTAATGGGATGATATGGTGGCAAAACTCTTGCAAAATAAATAAAGATCTTGTAAGCTTAGTAACCCTACTTTCAAATGTTGATTTCTGTGTATATTTGCTTGCTTCATGTTTTATTTAAGACCCTCCTTTTATCTTACCAAACGCTCTGTTTTATTGTTTTGCAGCCATGCAAAGATGCACCGACGGTAGGTTAATATTTTCTTAACAAATATCTTTGTTTAATTTATGTAGAGCATACAATAAATAGAGGGTGTTCAAATTAATCCTTTACCGTTGTAAGCATTAATCGGTGTAACTGTTACATTTCATAGGTTAATTAACCGAACCATTAAGATTAAATGGCTTTAGTTAATCGAACCATTAAAGATATCGATTAACGGTCACAGTTACAGTTAATGAATTTTAATAAATGGTTAACAATCGGTTAACCATTAATAAATTATAATTAATTAATTACATTTTTTAGATAATAGAATTAAAAATAAAATCAAATGGTTCCTCCTATTTCTCATATTTATTCACATTAAATCAAACATAGACGAAAGAAATACATGATTTTAAATTGAAAAATATAAATATATACATAAGATTTTAAAAGGTAAAAAATGAATATACCTCATAATATATATTTTTTTATAAAATAAATAAGATTTATACAAATATATATGTTTTCATCATCATAAATTTTATGAAAATTTGAAATTTTTATGTTATGTTATGTTTGAAAAATTGTAATAGGATAACTTATGATTAACCTTTAATCGAACCGTTAATAACTTTTAGCAGTTAACTATTTATTAAATAGTTATATTCAATTATTAAAGGGTAAACTACATTAATGCTCACTCATATATGAGTAAGTTTATCTTTTCCCCATTGATGTTCAAAATTAATGATTTGATCACTAATATTATTGGTTTATAACAAATCTGTCATTCGATGTTAACATTGTTACTGTGGATGACAAAATATTGATGTGGCGTGTTAACCGATTAACTTAAATTTCCCAAATGAATAACATTAGTTAAGGGATTTTTTTTCTTCCAAAGTTAATTTATCCGTTATGAACCCTTGATTTCCCCCCTTTCTCTTAATTAATTACCACTTAATTAATCTAAAAACTTTTCATTAAAACATTATTATTTTCCATAAGCAAATCAAATGTTGGTCAACAGTACAAGGGGAGTCAAACGGGTTGTATCACGTGACAACACAATTGTCAGGTCAACTCGTTAACGCGCTACATCATCATTCTATCACTCACACTATCACTCACAGTAACAGTAATTAACATCGAGTGACTGATTTATTATAAATCGATAATGGTAGTAACAAAAAATCATTAGTTTTGAAACATCAATCCAGTAAAGTGACATGCACCTACTTAAACAAAAGTGATAATTTTATGGAGTTTACCCTTTATTAAAAAATAAAACATGTGATAGGATTTGTGAAGTTAAATTTAATACCAAGTCAAAAAGTTTAGTCATATAAGTTCCATGGTGTAAACTGCAATTTTTGGTTCCAGGCTCTGAGCTTCTACAAGAGCAAAAATTTGATGGTGCAAAACTTGAACATCCAAGATGCACAACAGATCCATGTTTCTTTTGAAAAATGCAACAATGTTCAAGCTTCTGGTCTTACGGTGACAGCCCCAGAGAAAAGTCCCAACACTGATGGGATTCATGTCTCTCATACGCAAAACATACGGATCACAGACTCTATCATAGCAACTGGTATGAATTTTTATTATGATTTACTAACCAAATCTACATTGGTTTTAACTATCATGGTTTGCTTTTAAATGAAGGTGATGATTGTATCTCCATTGTAAGTGGCTCCCAAAACGTGCAAGCCCTGAATATAACTTGTGGACCTGGTCATGGAATCAGGTCTTTAACCCTGCAAACTTAGAACCCTTTTTTTCTCGACCTTTTAGTGAAGCTTGAACTGATGATTTACAATGTTTCTATTTATGTTACATCTATCTGATTGTGATGATGGGGAGATCAGTATTGGGAGCTTGGGATCTAAACATTCAAAGGCTGATGTCTCGGGTGTGACAGTGGATGGAGCTAAGCTTTTTGGAACCACAAATGGAGTCAGGATCAAGACATGGCAGGCAAATGCAGCACTGTAAATAATATGTATGATATGCGTTCAAGATACTGTAATAACTTGAGTTTTTATGATTAATGGTCAGCAGGGAGGGTCAGGAAGTGCAAGCCACATCAATTTTCAAAACATTGAAATGTTTAATGTGTCCAACCCCATCATCATAGACCAAAACTACTGTGACCAAGATAAACCATGCAAAAAACAGGTGATGAAATAGCATGCTAATTGATTGTTTATTTATGAAAAAGAGTAACCTACCATTGATTCTAATGTTGAAAGAATTTGATTCGTTTTAATCCGTGCAGAGCTCTGCAGTGAAGGTGAAAAGTGTGGTGTATAAGAACATCAAAGGGACTAGTGCTTCTGAATTGGCAATAAAGTTTGATTGCAGTAAGACTCATCCTTGCCAAGGGATTTTTCTGCAAGATGTTTGCTTACAGAAACAAGGAGATACGACTGCCAAAGCTATCTGCAACAACGTTGAACTGAGTGAAATGGGAATTGTTTGCCCACGGTGCAAATGCATGTCGATAACAGAATCTTAGGTTTGTTTACAGATATGGAGAAATGAAGAAATCACATATTGGTGAGACAATCACTTCCATTGTTGAACTTGAGATCCTTCGTTTCTCATGACTTGCTAATTATTTCTTAGATAATTTCAGGTTTACAACTCCGTGAAGGACTCACTCACAAAGTTGCACAGATTGTTTCTTTGTACAATGCAGGCCGACTCTGTAGATTAGTACTGTATCCTAAAGATCAAGAACAACCTCTTATTTGGAAATAGACGAGGCAGATTGTTTATCTGATATATTGTGATAACATTGTTGTAAAATCTAATAATTTATGTCATAATATAAACTGTTGCAGTGTGTGATATTTGTTTACATTCCACAGGATGATTCCCCATTTACCCTGTCTCGTGCTGCAAATATTTTTCATTAAGTATATGATCTTGCTTATCTTTCTTCTTATTTTTAAATATAATTACAAGGGAAATCTGAAATCGAATTCTTTGTTTGGGAAATAATTAAGGAGCAATTATTAGTAATATATTATGACTACTAAACTACAAAGCCAACAAGATGATGAAGGTAGCTTGAAAATAATCCAAGTATTTCTAGGAATGCTAGTGTGAAGCTATACATAAAAGAGAAATGACTAATAATGCACGCTGAATTCATTCATAAACATAGAACATGATATCCATGCTTTTAGGACTTTCAACAAGAGGATTGAGGACTGCATAAAAAAAGCATTCAAAGATTGAACAGATTCGTCATTATTTCTTTAACGGTGAGTAATTCGGCTGAGTTTTTTCCCTCTATTATGTAGCATAAAGATTTGGAGTAAGTTATGATTGCAAATTTAAAGTAAAGCAGAAAAAAACATGATAGATTGCTTTGATCAAGTGGATGAGCATGTTTTACATGATGCTTTTAGCATCATCATGATTCTTTATGAAAAAGAAGTATCAACGGTAAGTTCTTCATGTTCGGATCTCATAATATCTTGAGAAATATTAGCTTTTGGAAAAGCCACATTGAGTTCTAAATTCAAAAGCCTGTGATTAGGGTATGCTTTTTCAGATGCCTTTGACCACTGCAGATATGGTAGAAATGCCTGATTTCTGGGATAAAAAAATTATCCTAAACTTCCCACCCCTTTAGCTAAGAATAATAACATGTAAAATGAAGGGACTTTTAATTGAATTTAACCAAGGTAAGTGTAATTCTTAACATACACGATTTAGATTTTCCATTAAAACTACTTCCCCTGCCATGGTAAAGAATGCAGTGACAAATTGTTGCTAGAAGCTGTCAAAATAGTTCCCCTAATACACTCTTATAATATTCTCCCTAGGTTTTGGGTTCGAGCAATTGCTTCTACAGAGTTTGAACTACCTTATAATCATCCCAGACTATTAAAAAATATAATAATCTTCTCATTTACAGCATCCCCACAACATACAATTTGAACTAATCAATTATCACACTTACATTTGTATCAAATGGTTTATATATGCACGAATCTTCATTTCTTTTCCTCCTCTGTTGTGGGATTTGGTCCCTCTTTGGAAGCTCCAACTGCCGGAGGGACTCCACCATCGATGCAACTTCTACACTTCCTTTCTATCCATCCTTCAATATCATCCTCCCCATTTCCACCAAAATGCCTTCCACCACACACTCGAGCAATGATCCCTGCAACTACACCTAGGATGGTTATCACAGCCAGCACTACGATCAGCGTCTCAATCGACCGATGAGAATACGTACTCGGGTCCCTCACTTTAGGTGGTGCCTCAAATATGGGCACATATTGGTCAGGTAACTTTGCTTCCATAGCTACGGTGACAATCAAATCGAATTAGATATTCATAAACTCAGTGTTCCAGTTTTGGTGTACTTTGTAAAGGGTGTGACTCGGTGAAAGCCTGCAGACATGTGATGTAAGTAAAGGGGAAAACGTGGATAGAGAGTCGAGTTGAAACAAGAGTGAAAAGGTGAGCAAACTATGAAAAAAGGAAGACGAGGGAACTTGAGTTGTGCTATAGTCCAAACCATGTCACCCCAAGGGATAGAATATATAGTGGCAGTTTGTCCTTAGTGATATCACATGTTAACGTTTAAGAATGGGATTCCAAAACTTTCCTAGTTATTTGATACTTTGTTGTCTACTGTAGAGGTAGGAATTTCCCTATACAATCAGGGGTGTTTGGTTCAAGGAATGTGGGATTCTCATGGGATGGGAATCCCACATTCCCATGTTTGGTTGGGCGGGAATCTCATTCCCAGTAATGTTTTATTACCAATAGTAGATTTTTTGGGTATATTACCGGGAATGTCATCACCTCCCTTCCCTTAGGTATTGTAACATTACCGACGTTTTGGACTAAAATGCCTTTAAATTTTTTATTTTTTTTAAAAAATATCATTATTCTGTCATTGAATAATAAAAATTCTACGAAGGTTAAATTACAAATTTATCCTTAAATTATTTTAGATTTACAAAAAAAGTCTATAATTAAAATTTTATATGAAGTTTAGGGGTTAAAATTTTTTTTATCCTTTCATTAAACCTTTTTAATATTTTTAATTTTGTAAAAAATATTATATAAATATTATGAATTTAATTTTTTAAAGAAAATATATAAATATTTTACAATTTGTAATATTATACAAATATAAAATAAGGATAATTTGGTCAAATATACATTCCAATAATCTTTTATTCCTTCAACCAAACACGGTAATCTTACATTCCTGCTAAACCAACCAAACACGGTAATCTTACATTCCTGCTAAACCAACCAAACACAAAATACAACATTCCCAGTAATCCTATTCCCTGGTAATCTTTTATTCCCACTGGTAATCTTACATTCCGTGAACCAAACACACCCTCACAGTTTGACTAGCCCCCGGCCCCACCCATCAGTTTGTGGATACAATGAATCAGCTAAATGGGTTACTTTCTTGCACATCATGTGTTAATACCCCAAATTTTGGTTAGTGATGAAAATAAAATTTTTAAAAGTTTAGTGGCCAAAGTATAAAGTTGGGGGGAAATTTAGGGATCAAAAGGGTAATTTTCCAAAAGTTCATAGACCAAAAGTGTATTTTTCAAAAGTTAGGTGTTTTTACCTATAAATGAATAGTTCACCCAAGAATGACATTTTGGTGGGAATCAGATTTTTTATCCAAATTTATGTTAAAAGCTATAAAGTGTTAAAGTCCGGTAAAATTCGGTAAATTAGATCGAACAAAAATTTTGAGAAAATTTGAAGGATATTAAATTAAGCTTAGAAATATTATTTCCACATTTAAAAATGATGGAAAATAATATAGACCATTGGATTTGAGAATTTATTTCTATGTTCAATTTGGGTCGTTTGATGAAAACGACAAGATTGAAATTCTCGGAAAGTTGCATGGATAAACTTGTCAAGAGTATAATATTTTGTTCGTCTTTGACTTTGGAAGATGATAACCAACATGTGGCTTGGTATGGATGTAATTATTAAGTTTCATTAAAGGTAAAATTGTCATTTCCTAATTAAATGAAAATTTTAAATTCATTTAAGCTTAATAAATGATAAATTAACATGAAATTAACTAGAAATTTCATGAAAATAAGGTATTCTTCAACCTCCATTTTGTGCTCATCATGACCTAGGTAAGGGAAATTTTATTTTTCATTTTTGAGCAATTTCTTTTGGATTTTGGATCGAACCGTGAAATCTAAATTTGTTCTATTCAAAGAGCTCTATCATTTGGTATCATTATTTCATGCTAGTCATGATTGAATGTTAATTTCTCAAATTTTAGGGTTTAGATTCATGTTAGGGTTTTATGAATTGATGATAGATTTTGAGGCTGTTGAGGTTGTAGAATCATTTTCAAGCTTGTTTGATGATCAAAACCACCTAGAAATGCTATATTGATTTTTGGCCTAAACCCTACATTAGGAGAAATTTGTGATTTGCTGAAATTTAGTTAGGGGTTTGATTGTAGAGTTTTTAAAATGTTGAATAGATATTGATTTCATGCTCGAATCAAATTGAAATCAAGTGAAATCATGAAACCCTACCCCGTTAACATTCGGCCTAGGGTTTTGGAAGTGAGAAATTTTTTTGAAAATTATACAAGGGTTAGAAATGATGTATAAGAAGGATCCTACAAGCTTTAGAAAGTTATTTGGACCAATTTGTAATTTTGAAAAAGTTGGGAGACATATTCGTTAATTTTGAAAAGTTATGGGTTTGATGTGTAATTATTCAATAAATGAAGTACTATGCTGGAAATTAATGTTAGAGTTATGAATTTGGTGTCAGAATGTGAAATTTGACTATTTTAGGAAGTTGTCAAAGTTTGAGTAATAAATGGAAAATATTGTGAAAGTTAGTGACTTAAGTGGTAATAATGGAATTTTTGAGGTATTGGGATGGAAATTAGATGCTAGAAATTTAATTAAGTTGTTTGAGACTTGAATTGAATTAAAAGGGCAAAGGATTATTCATAATAAAATGGAAAATTTGAGATGAATTCTAAAAGAATTCATAATTAGTAGTTAAAATGAAAAGTTGAAAAAAGGTTATGTGAAGTTTGGGTGAATTGCATAAAAAGGGACTTGAATGATCAACTTGAAAGTGTTAAAGTCGACATATATGTTGTGACATGGAATTAGTATCAAATAAGCATCGAAATATCTTTAGGATTTTTTTGTATGCCTATGCTAGTGAGATTCTAATATGTGGTTTGAAATATACATGTTTTGTAAATGATATTCATTTATATTGTGTTCTTGAAATCAAGATCAAGCAATGTTAAAGCTAAGGAGAGCTTTAGGATGAAATGTGAATTTCTAAGGAAAGTTGCAAGCTAAGGACTCCAGGTGAGTGCATATTTAATTTGTATTTATGATATCGTGCAAACATTGGCTTGTGATGAGCCAATGACGGAGTCACTATATTAAGAAGTGACTCCTAAATGTTATGAAATTTTGTGATTCATGCATATATGTTCATTTGGTATGCTAATAGAATTAGTGAATAAGCTAAAAATATAAATTAGTGAAATTTGCCCAGATTTGTGTTCTGAACAGTAATTTTAGAAAATCACCATAAATTATATAGAAATTATTAGAATATGATTTTTATGCTGTTGGATTCGTATACCATTCTAGTTTTGTTGAAGATAAACGGATACTGATTTCAAAAAGTATAAAAAAGTATAAGAATTTTTAATCGAGGATAGGTCAGAAAACATAGCAGCAGATTCTGCTCAAAAAAACTTCTGTAAGTA